CGAATGTGTGTGGTGGGTGCGGTCCGTCCAGAGTTGAGTAATCAAGCAATGCTCAAGTGGTGCGCTGATGCAGAACATTATGATGTTATTACGATGATGACAGTGCTGATGGAGGCACTGAAGTTGTTGTTATTATTGTGCTGATTGTAGAAACTTCTGACAACTGCCCCATTCGAAGGCCTACATTAAGCCTCTTTAAAACCCAGCTAATGTCCGGTGTATTTAAGAACAATACTCAAGACTTATGAATGAGTCTGCGAATGTGGCAGTGTATTTGGCAAAATACGAAAATGAGAAAGTAGGGTATAAATGTGTTAAGGTAAGGACACCAACACGCCAAAAGTCATTTGTTTTATAATTAATGAGAAGTAGATATAACAAAAATTTAAATAATGATCAACATAATTCGATCTCTTTTCGCTTACATTTTTTGGGGATGGTGGACAAGGATCTTAATATTGACGTTGGCAGAGCATATACGCCTAAAATCTCACCTTAAAACTAGGTAGAGTGAACTCGCAGCAGAAGACTGAGTCTTAGGAGATCATTCTTTGGGGATGTCAACTAAGTTGATTTAGTCAGCCAACAAAAGCCGTTTTATTCTGTGCACTGCAACTTTACGTTGGAAAATTAGTCCTCGAAATTGAGTCTCCGTAACTTTAGCTTCGGAAGATGAACCGATATTTGAAATGTTTTGTGATCCTAAATAATGGGCCTAATAAACTGCAGCCCGTACAAAAATCTCAGATCGCAAATTTTATTTAGTAGCGATAATGACCTCAATAGTATTATATCCAAATAATTTCATAAATGTAAATTGTTGTTTAAATATGTTCCGTGCGCTATAGTGTAAAACATGAATTTGTGTATGCTTTCGCAAAGATATTAACTCCATATTCAGCTATAAAGGCAACTAGCACAACTCGCCGCTGGCTGTGAGCATCACAACTGCCTCATCCTTATCATTCGATAGCTTTCGCAAGTGTTTCGAGCTAACGGCTGGGTAATTGCATAAGTTGCAAAGTAAAAATCCTTCAGGATAAATAAAAATTCCCTGCGATTTCATTTCATGTAAATAGAAAAACAAAAACTGCGAGAAGTTGAAAAGTAGTTGAACGAGTAGTAGTGAAATTCCTAGAGTCAAGTTGTTTAATACAAGTAGTTAACTGATTATTAAAGGACCATAACGGAGGAAACTTTACCACACCACCTAGCAACGTGCCATAAAGCTACAAATTGAAAGTTTCTCCAAGTAAGGAAGAGATGGCGTTGGCGCAACGCTTTTCGTTTCGGTACCCCATGAATACCGTCACGATTCATTTTTTCTTAAGATTTCTTAGAAAGAGAACATTCTTTTAAGTGATCTTTGTGCCTAGAACATTTTGGGAATATGCAGCATGGATTTTGATTACAAAATGCTTGTTATTATATTTAGCCTGGTCGCTGGTTAAGGTTCATTGAACATAAATTGTGGAGATAATGGATCGATGAGGAGAAAGCCTGGCTTAGTTGATAAAGAAAATATCATACAAGAACTCTTTCATTTACACAATAAAAGCTCAACTTAACGGAATAGTAGGCAATTTTCTTATATGCATACATATTTACCAGGTCATATATGTATGGGTGTATTTCATTTTAATTATTCTGACCACATCATGACGGCTACAGCTTCATTCACCGCTCATTCACTTAATACACACATATTTGCTTATTCATTTATGCAGCCTATTCTCTCTTCAGCGCCGGCACGCACTTCCACTAACGCCTATAAGTCTACATTATGTGAGAGAACCAAATGAATAAATGAAAGGCTGCATGCCGGGCAACTTTATTGATGGAGAAGCCACGGGAAGGAAAATGTAAAAAAAGTCGGCTGTGGGCCGGATCAGTTAGCGCACATAATTAACATACTGGCAGGCAAGCAGCGACGGTAAAGGATTTAGTGGATGTCAGCCAGGTGGCGGGCTAATACTTTAGAATTCTGGGGCAAATAGAACCGCTAGTGGGCCTCGCCGGGCACGGACAATTGATAATGCAATGAACTCTGCAACCACGAATGCACCTAAATGGTTGTTGGCAAATTGATTGGAGGCGCATAAATATTTTATTAAATCCACTGGCGGATTACTTGCGCTCCCACATTTTTATACTTAAAGAATTACAGCCAACCCGTGAATGCAGTATAATTAAACAGACTTATGGCTTAGGTGATGCTCATAAAGGGTTGGCGCCACATTGTGCATTGCGGGAACTTTGCATTATTACTTTCGGACGCGACGTGGGGAAAGCTAAACCGTGAAAGCGAATAAAAAATCTGAACAACGCCATAAAAGCCTGGCAGCTCTTGGCAACAGCGGTTCACAGCAATGGCAACAACTAATATGCATGCAATGTACAAGTGATTGTATGTATGGTGTATGTGTATGTCTACATACACAGTTTGTATTCAGAGGAACATATCACAAGTCCAGGAACATTAGTCCGGAGCAATTTTGAAATCAGTGTTTATCTAACCTATGCGTATATATGGGTACACAGTCACTCAGAAAGAGTAGAAACATTTAAAAGGAAACTTACAAAAATTGTCGGCTTAAAACAAAAATTAATTCAAGTTCACTTCACTATCTGAAGAAATCATTATTATTTTTAGCAGGATCACAAATGATCCCATTACATAGGGTTCAACTGATTCAAATCCAGCACAACCAAGGGTATGAAGGAAAATTTGAATCTTAAACCAGAAAATAGCCAGAGATGCAGCTTGAAAAGGCAAGGCAACCTCTTCCTCCTCTTAGACATATATTATATATATAAGATTTGAATTATTGGCAGATTCGAGGATCAAGATTGCAACTATTCATCGTTTTTGGCAGAGCTTTTGAAATGGTCTCCACCAATTATGAATACTAACCCAATAGTATTCGCGAAGCCCGTTTAATATTCCGTACAAGAGTGGTTCGCACGTTTGCAATCTCCGAGGACCGAAAGGCGCTTCCCTAATATGAATGGACTGCCATGCATACATAGCGAGACATGGGCGTTGTAACTACTTACGGTTTTTTAATTACCATGCGGCTCACACTTCTTGCTTATTTTCGCAGTTGCCAGCGCATAAGTTTTAATTAAAATTATTTCTCCTGCATTTTCCGATGTTTTGTTGTTATTTGCTTTTTTCTTTTGCTTCTGCGTTCGTTTTTTCGTTGTTGACGCGGCCACCATCACCTTCATGGCCATCCACATTGCCATTTGTAGCGCAGCTGGTACCATATTCTTTGCCTTTACTTCGCTCAATATTTGTTGTAGACGAAGCAAGCGCTGCTACGCTCTCTGCGCCCCTCCGCCCGACCCAACTGACTGCTTGTTATTTAACGCTACTGGATTTGTGTACTATTGGCAGACGAGTTTGTTAAATTGCTATTGTTGTTGTTATGCTGCTGCTGTTTTCCCCGTTGTTTACTATTTTCATGCAGTCTGTGTATGTGCTGGTGTTTCCTGCTTTCCAGGTTTGTTTTCAAACAAGTTTTTGCGGCGTCGCTGAATGGCGCAATATGGCTGGAATACACCGATGCTCCCGATGCCACATATATATATGGAGTATATATGTATATGTGTAGAAACTACAATATTCGCGTATGTATCGCCTGTATACACATTTCCATCAAGTTTGTATGGCTTTCCGAGGTTTGTGTATAAAAAGTGCTTATAACTTTTTCCACAACACTTTTTAATGATTAAGTATTTTTTCATTTACATCCTTTTTGTTGTTTTTTTTATTTATTTTTTTGTTTTGTGCTTTCATTGCTGCTTTTGCTTTGGATTGTACTTTTTGCAACTTCTATAAGCGTATTGTTGTATTTGCTTTAGGTTCGGCTGCGCTGGCTGTGCACAGCATGTAATGACATTGCACGTTGCAAATCATTGCGACTGCAGCTGCAGACAATGAATTCTGACAGCAACAGTGTTTCGCACGCACACACATGCAACCTTTTCTAAATACTTGTATGTGTTGAAACATAGGAGTGGAGATGGAAGAGCGCAAGCGTACGCCAGCGAGTCAACAGGCAACAATCAGCGGCAACAGTCGCGCTGGCTTTAAGCCGCCCACACACATGCACAGGTGTTGGTGTTTGTACGAGCGCCCCCAAGTATGTCTATAAGTATTGTGTGTATTTTTGTTTTTGGCGAAGATGGTCTGCTGAGTCTGCCATATCAATTTCGAAGAATGCCAGGGGAGCACTTAGAGACAGACCGCAAGCATGGCTCATATGTGAGTAGATACATATGGATGGATGGATATATGTTTCAGTCAGTTAAATATAACAGTCTTTATATATTTTATCCGCACCGATGTGGGTTAGGGTCGGGTTGCGTAGTGCGGAATTAAATTCCAAGTTAAATTCCAAGTTCATCGCCGGTTTCGCCAAGGTAATTTAAGTAAAAAGATTTCACGCCACAAAATATGTCGACCGTAGGGTACTATTAGAACTAAAGTATCGAATTTTCCGCGAACTCCCATTAAAAATGGCTAGACTTCCTTATATAATTTAATAATCAATAAAAATCGAGCAGGTCATGCCAAACTTAGCTAATCAGAGTTGTTGTTTTTTTGTTTTTTGTTAATAATATATTCAAAGTAGGCTGGCTAACTAAGCGGAGTCTCAGGGTTTGAATAGCAACCCAATATCCAGATATCGCCTCTAAAACGCTGATACGCTGATGGTGCTCTGAACAATGGTATCCACATATACATACTCAAGTTCAGGCGAACTCCTAATAATCCCACTGCATTTCTTTTGATTTCTAAACTCACATGTGCATAAATGTACATATATACCTTCTAATCTTAAATATATGTAGGCATGCCTTAAAATACGAGTATTCACACATTCAAATATTCTTCGCTCCCTACATGATATACTTGTATTTCTATCCGATTTATATAAAGGGCACACATGCTCACTCACTTATATTAAATATCTCTCAGCAAGTTCAATTACCTTCCGTTTGATGGGAGTGGAAATCCGTCCAGTGTCCATGAAATTTGCGGTGTTGGATTTCCGGCTGCCGAGCACTTCAAGCTCACAGCCGGTCCCGGCTGCAGCGTTTGTTCGATAAAGCTATAAAGCAGCACTGGCGGCGCATCTACAACAAAAACACAAAAATAGGCAAGCATCAAAAATAGTTTTATAGAAAAATTCTGCAAACATATAGAAAAAGGACAGACCAGGACAGAGCCAGTGAATGAGCGACGCAAGCGAAGGGCTGAGCGGGTGGCTGCACGAGTGACTGAGTGCAAATGAATGAATGCGGTGAATGCAAATGACAGAGCAGCAGTGGAAAATGCGGCGCAGGCAAATTGCATAAAATGGAGCACACAAACGAACTTATTCTTTTTCAACTCTGCTTTATTTGTCCGCCTACACATATACATTAATGAATGTGTCAGTGTTTCTGTTTGCGATTACATATATTTACTCAGAATGCACAAGATTAAAGCAAATAAACCGGATCGTAAATAACCAATAAATTTAAACATGAACATAAACATGAAAGCGGATACATTTTCGAAATTGATTGGCGAAACTACGTTGAAATCGAGTTATCATCGGTAATGAAATTTAGTTGATCCTGCGAAAATCATATATTAATAAAATAACTTCATTCACATTCTTCTTTATACTCTCGCAACATGTCCACGGAGTATAATAGTTTTGTTCACCTAACAGTTGTTTGTATTACCTAAAACTAATCGATGGTAAATGGTGTAATGTATATACGTATCTTCCGAACCACTAAACCTAACTTAACCAAACTTGCTAACTGCGAAAATTAGTAAAATCAAATAATAACCACGCCCACTCACCATATAACGGTTATGTTACTATTAATATTACTATATGTGCGATAACTCACCGAATAAATGAGCCACAAGCATTAAATTTCACAACTAAGATGGAAGGAACGGGCTTTATTATTACCCAATCATTACTATTGTACGCTATGAAAATGGAAAAAATCGGTTGACAATCTTGCCTACCTCCCATACAACAAACTTTTAAATTCTATCTAATTCTTTCACTTTACAATGTACAAATCAAACATCAAAGAAATTATTAGAATATAACTTTGCACAAAAGATGTCCACGCGATATTTAATCTTGCCCAAAAATTGTCGAAATCGGACCATAATTTTTAAGGACCCAGACACCAAACAAAAACAGCATGCGCTTGTGACAAAAATAGGCAATATCGGCTCAATAACTCCCTTAGCTCCCATATACCAAATATAAATATTTCGAACACTCGTTTGACTTTATATTGCATCTATCGGTCAATATGTCAGAAATCATAATGAAATTCCGAAAGAATCTCTTTCTAATAATAGTTTGTCATCTTGCCTTTGATTGTAAACCTTGGTTGCAATACTTAATACTTTTAATTAAAATATATACTTGTACAATATGAAAATGGCGTATATCACTTTACCTTGCGAGAGTATAAAATGTTCGGTTACACCCGAACTTAGAACTTCCTTACTGATTTATGTATTACAACTTTACAGAAATTAATTATTTCAATTGTTTCACTTCTTATAATTTATCATATATATTCAAACATGGAACTACTTGTTCCTTGAATATTTTTAGAAATCATAGTAAAAATGCATGGTTTGTTTTAAACCTTCCGAAGGGTACATATTATTATCTGTGTGACTGATTTTCTCCATATTCCTTGATGAAACAACTGAATGAAGATATACAGTGTAATACTTCAGTTAGTGTGAGATTATGCAAATTCAAGCCGCGCTTTTCGATTTTTGTGCGAAATGTATGGCTTTTTGGCACTTTTGCATGTTATGAAGTTATTTGCTACAGATCGTCGCTGGATGGACCTTGATGGACCTGCACGAAATAATCAAGCCCAATTCGCTTTGGATTGATCTTACTTTAGCTAGTAGTTTTACTTAGTCTGCCACCTCCATTAATTGTGGTTAGGGTGCCCGAAGAACGAAAACGACGTATAATTCTTGAGACAATGCTGGGATTAATTGCGAACTTTTTCGAAATATTGGTTAAATCGCTAATAATTCTTTCCTTAATTGGTGCTGAAAACTTACTACACGCCATTTCACAAATATTTTTTTTATTAAGAAGCAACACCATCGGTTCATCATAAATGACTAATCTACTCGTATTAATATTACTCCAACATGCTCCTCAAATAACGGTTTCTAACTACAGTTGGAATTTTAACGGGACTTGTTGAAATTAAGGTCAATAAATAAATAAATACAGTTTAGTGCTTTAGTTTTGTCCGACACTGTATTTGTGCAATTATTTATTGCAACTCGCCGATAGTGATGGGAACATTCGTGTATAGCAAAGAGGCTCGACAAAACAGCGATTTTGCCCTTGTGCGAGGTCAAATCATGGTCAATGCTCTCATAGACAAGCATGTTGACAGAGTTGCCAACCCATTGTTAATAGCCCGTTTCTAAGGGAGTTCCGCCGGTTTTTAAGGAAATATAATGGTTGTGAATCGTGCTAGCGACTACCTGAATTTTGAACAGCATTGCGATTACTAAGAGCATTAAGAGGAGCTATACCAACCCGCTTGCAATTCGAAATTGCTCACAGTAAATGTTTTTCAATATTTTTTTTAACAAGAAAAAAACAAATGCTTTCGATTTTCAAGTAGCCTTACTTACGCTGATTGTTGCTAACTGACAAAATGATTATTGGTGAGGATTAATTTGAAACTTCTAGTGATTCTCTAGTGATACCAAACCAAATAGTAAATTCACAGATACCTCAAATTTGTATATTTTACAGTAAGAACAGAATATTTTTACACTGCCTATTCCTATTCCTTTAGTGTTTAGTTTTCACTCCATCATCAGAAATTTATTGTTGTGCTTATTTCTCGTACATATTCGTATGTGAAGAGTCCGTCTGAAGCTTTCGGCAATCGGAAATGAGAATAATTTCCATGGTCATTACTCTATGCAAAATGGAATAATTTCCGTTTAGTTGTGTCTGTATGGGTTGGTGTGAGAGAGCATCAAAGCACAAAATAACTACAGTAAACCGGAAATTAAGCGAAAATCCATTATTTCCCATCACCCGTGAATGATGTTTACCACAAATCAGACGATTTTAAAGCAATTATTATAGGAAAAGCATTAAAATTTTACCAAACACCAACACACCCTTGCACACGTAACATATGTGTCGGTGAATACACGAATATGCACGAGTGTCTCTCAGCGAAAGAGCTGAGCAAGGTGTTGATATTTACACCTACATCGATAAAAATTAAGCAAACCCGTTATCTCGACTGTGAATAAATATAAGTACGTTTCATTAAAAAAAAAAGTCAAGCACGAATATAGGTATTCTGACGTATTCTCACCTCCTAGTTGCAATTCCGCCGTCGCCTGAAAGGTGTCGCCTTCGGGTCGCCGCACCACACACTGGTACATACCGCGATTTTCACGGCTTACGCGCGTCACCATCAATGTATCCTCGATGCGGCCCGATGAGGGCAATTGCCGGCCGTCTTTATACCAAAGTATATTCTGCATGCCGACCGGACTGCCGTTGCTGGTCACAATGCAGCGAAACTCCGCATTGCCGCCCATATGTACGCTCAGTATGTTCGGCGAGATCTCGACTTGTATGGGCGTGGCAACAGTGAGACGCAACTCAGCGCTCGCCTCCCCGCCCACATTGCTGGCGGTGCACTTGTACACACCCGAGTCCTCGCTTGTCACCGCTTCAATGGCGAGTATGGGACCAAGCAGCCGAACGCGTGGGCCGCTAAGCACAGGCAATGGGCCGGGACCGTTGTGGGTGTACCAGCTGAAAATGAGAGAGAATCGTAAGTAAATCAATAAAATATATCGAAATAATATGTGAGTAAAAATGTTTGTATTTGCTTTTTAAATAAATTTATGGCGTACTACAAGTATATTCCATTTCCTGTCGTTTGCATTTCATAGCTGCTTATATTATATTTCTTACCGCCCCCGCTTGCTACTTCACTAAGTGCATGCGTATTTACATTCGCGTAGTTCTTCACTTTTCATTGCAAGCCGACATTTTACATACTCGTTTGTATATGCTCTCTTTTTTACATATACACATTTATATTTACACATATCCTATTATTTGGCTTCATCAAAACCAACCTCGAGTAGGGTATGCGTGCAATATGATATTTTTACTGACCAATATCATCTTTTAAAGTACTATTTATCTTAGATTGATTGAATTTTGTACGAAAACCGCAAACATTACAATAATTGTGATTTTTTTTATTTGAACGTTTATTTAAGAAAAACGTGTACAGTTGTATGTAAGGGCGTTTTGTGTCGACCGGAACAAATGGTAGTCAGAAGAGGCAAGGTCTGCAACATGAGGCTGAGCGCTGTCATGATGGAAAATTATTACTCGCAAATTCTGAGCGTTTCGAGCTCGCTTCAATTTGGTAAGTTTTTGTCTGTGGCGTTCCCTGTTCCGTTCATGGTTATTAGGCCTTGCCTTTGATTTGGCTGGTTGGCCAGGTTTCACATAGCATTTTTTGCGTTTAAAATTGCTTAATGAATCCATATGTCATCATTATCACAATCCAAAGATCCGATCGACTTCTTTTGTAGAATTCAACCAGCATTTTTGACAAACAAAATCGTCTTTCAACGTCTTTTGGCTTCAGTAGAGTGTCATAATTTCCTTGCTTTTAAGTGTATCTGGCTGATTTTTAATATCTATATGTACTAAGTTAAAATAAGGTAAGTTGCTCTCTTTTTGCAAAATATTGTAGTTTTTGATTACTAAAGTTAAAAATGTTTAGGATTTCCTGGAACTGGGTTCAGCAAAACCTTAACTATAAAATTTACATATATATCAAAACCTAAATAGTTTACGTGGCAAGAACAGCAAATTTTACACTGCAAATATCTTCGTGGGCCAACATCCACCTACGTGTCCACAGCGAGAGCACCACTTTTACTATATTTATTCACACTTTTCTCCATCGAACTTTTTCGCAGTGTGCCATTTTTCATATTTTATTATTGATGAAAATTCAGTCAAGTGCGAAAAGGTTGTCAGTATTCATCAATCAAGAATTAATAATTTTCTTACCGTTGCCTGCTCAAAAACGACGGTTCTCCATTCGCCTAAATGCACAAACCTTGGCATACTGGATTGTGTGCAAATAATGAGTGCAGACCTGGAGGTAGGCTCCATTTTCCTCGCGGCCCCCTCCCACTGGAGCAACTGGAGCACCCCAACGTGTTCACATTTTATTAATAAACATACTCGCACGTTTAACTGGTTTTTTCTTTAATGGAAAATGCAAAATTGTGAACTTTAAAAATGCATGATAAACCCTAAAACCATATAATATTTCCTTTTCCTTAAATTAATTGTCAATATACAAGGGAAATGAAATTAAGATTGAGCTACAATGAGTTATTTCAGATATTGTAATTATAAATAATAAAAATAAATCAACCTATCAATTCTGCCCTGAGATCAAATTGTTCGCGAACAGATATTATTACGCACTAGTCCTTTTTGGTACACTTAAACTCAAACTTCTGATTGCCAATTTCTCAACAACAAAACAATTATTCGCCGTTACATGTACTTATGTATATGTGTGAAAAGAGTAATGGCGTATTTCTGTTTTCTTTTAGAAAGGAAAATATTTATAAGCACTTTGAGGTTTTTCATAGGACTGAGATCAAAAAATTCTCGTCTATCATTGAGACATTTTACAGTTAGTTGTGTAAATACAACTGGTAGTTTTAGATAAATTCTGTCACTAAATAAAAGAATAAAATTATGAAACTAGCATTTCAGACACATAACTATGTATGTATGTATGTATATGGCACTTTAGTGTTCACAATGAGCTTCTTGAAGGAGTGATATGTTGTAATAAGTGTCTTCACGAAATTCTTCGCGATTTATTTTCAGTTGCACTTGTCACTGACAAATTGAATTCCAGACATTTCCGTCGAATGTTCTCTGCAGACATTTTAAACATAAACAAAATTCGCTGACAGACGGGTGCAACTGAGCAAGAGCATATAGTTTGCAACGCACTTGTGTAAAAATGGTTGCGATAAAGTCGCATTTTAAGTGAAATTGCGAAGAGCACACCGCCATTCTAAAATGATACGTAAAGGGCGGCAAGCACCATTGCAAATGCACGCGTAACGGCAATGCGAAGTGTCGGAGCATTTGCGAGCAGTGAGAAATCTGGCAATCGCACCGAATACTCCTATTTATCTTACACAAATAAACAAGCTCACCAACAAACTCACTTATGCTTGTGTGTGAAGGTGTGTATGTATAAACTGTCAGCAGAACGCGTCTGCATTTGCCGCTCGAAGCGCGGAGCTTGGCAAATGGTAAATGGCGGCGTTGACACTTCTGACGCAAATTGATTATTTTCGTAGCTAAGCATATGCAAGCATCCGAACTTCAGCACGTTTAAGCAAACAAACATGCTGACAAGTGAAACACTCATACGAAAACAAACAACAACAAATAGCAAACAGTGCAACAGCAAAGGGGAACGAGATTCTTCACATAGCGATAAAAGGCGGCAGACATCAAATTGACAGCGCGGAAATCTGCAGAAGAAGCTTCGCAATTCGTGCATTTTTGGCTGGGAATCACTGCCAAAATAACGCGTACAAATGGACGTCATTCATGTAAATCTTCTTACGGATTTTTGTGGCTTAGAACGTACGCCGGTAACCGCATAATTAAAAGGTTTTTGTGGTGCAAATTTTGAAAATCTAGTTTTGACTATTTTTTTAGAAAAATCGACCATAGTTTGTGTTATGATGAAATCCTAAGAAACGCGTCTTTTTAGGCTTTGCTTAAGATTTAAATAAATTCCGTCAAGGGTATCATGAATATTTCAAATATTTCAATTCTGCATATGAATATATATGAATATTTTAACACCGGTGCTAAGAAAACGACATTTTCTCGCTGTTAAAAATGTAAACATAAATAACACCATCTACCAATTCACTCTTCCAACTTTATGTTCAAAACAAAAAACCCAAAAAATGCTGTACAAGTTTGACAAACACACCTAATTAAATAATATCCTAGTATTTAAGCCTCCTGCTACGAATTCAGAACTCAAGTATAATTTGAATACATTAATATACATTTAAGCGTGCAAAATTCTTTCAAAGCACCACATTTATAAAAATAAATTGAAATATTCAGATTTTCAGTAAATAAAGCAAGCAAAAAAGCTCACTAAATTTTCTAACTTTAATTTAATCACATCCCACTTTTTATGTTATGAAATTTATGCCGCATCACGTATACGCCACGGAGTCCCAATGCTCACATGCCTTCGACGAATAAGTAAGTTCCAAGCCAAACAAGCAAAACACCAAGCAATCACTTTAACAAATAAACAGCCCGACTGCATTTACGACATGTGTCAGGTGAGATCGAAAAGTGTATCTCTATAAACGAGTTGAGGACAAAGAAGAGCAGAAACGCTGAATCAAAAGCTTAAAATGGTTTCAAAATCGTCGAAAATTACTCACGAAGCAGATATGCGCTGGCGTTGCTAAGATAACGGAGTTGTCTGATTAGATAAAAATTATCTGCAGTCAACGTCCGTCAAAGCCGTCCAGGAAAGAAGGTTTTAATTTATTTTCAATGAAATTTTAAGCATTTTACGGCCCTCTTTTTGACTAACCCCCGTGAAAATTAATTTTTATAACGATCATATGTACATTTATGGTTGCATGACTTCTGAGTATTCGACTCGGTTTTGATGGCGCTGCCGGGTTAGACTTGTTTTCCCCTTTCACATTAACAGTTACATTTATTTGAGTTTACTTTGAAAAATGAAAAGAGTTATGGCCAACGATTCAATAGGTTCGTGTGTGTAGCGGTAACTTTCATATTCATCGACGACACCAAAATGACGAAATAAAAAGCTCAGACCACCACCCACTTTCTTCACAAAGAAAAAGTCATATTCTCATATTCTGAACTCTTCTCACTCGTATCACGTTTATATAGATAAAATACTTTAAAGTTTGTGCTGAAGTAAAATTTAATAGGCTTAATAAATTCTTGATAAAAGTTAATAATTAAAAAAATTACCGAAAAATATATATATCTTATATGAAGCATATATGCATAGTGTGTACTTACATATACCATATTTATACCAAAAAGCAAATGCCTTTCAAAACACTCATGGACAGTGAAGTATACTAAAAGCCATTACTGGCATTTTTGTTGGCCTTAAATCCTTACACAAATGCAGTGAATGGTCGAATTTCTTTCAATTCATGTATATATACACACATATATGGTATATATGTATGTATTTGTGTACATGTGCGGCAAGTGAGGAATATTTCTGCCAGTCATTCAGTAATTATCGCCAGGCATTCTTTTGTTAGAAAATACATTTTATATCACGACGTGGCAAATGCCTGCCATAATTTTCGGCGCTAATATGGCGACGCAGCACCTTTGTGTTTGTTCGGCCATTTATGGCAGAGCCCGCTCCTCTTGCCTTCTGGCATAATTCGCGCCAACCTGCGGCTGTCAGTCCCGATTCTTAGTTATGATATAAACACATGGCGAAATATGTTCTTTCCTGTCCACTAAGAACTGGTGAGTTTTAAATGGATACGGAAAAGAGTGTTAGTGACGTACTATAATTGAACACGAGAGCAAAATATTCAAATATCAATCCAAATGGGGGTAACGAATAGTTTTACCAAGAGAATTGATTAAATTTTTACCTCACATATAACAAAGGTGACTAGAACTCGTTTAATTAGGAACTAGCG